ATAAGAGTTATATGAGTCCTTAATAAAATGATTTAAAAAAAAGTCTTTGAAGATGCTGTGGAGATCAGATTAGTCAGCAAAGATGGGAAGAGTAAAGGGATCGAATAAGACAGAAGTTGATGCTGAGAAAACCCTTGAAGAAAAACAGGAGGCAGAGATAAATGGCTGATCCATATCCAGGTACTATACTGGGGAGAAGGGTCAAAATCAAAACCATCGAAGTGGAGTCCAGCACTTGGAGCAGTGAATCAAAAACTCGTTATAAGCAACTTTTCCTACAATGCAACAGAAGAGATATTGCAGGATGTATTTGCTAAAGAAGCTTTTTAAGTTCTTGTAATAAAAGAGAAATCAAGGGCAGAGCAATCTGGTTGGAGTTGCAAGGAGCCAGGGGATCACCTAATGCACTGAGACAGCTGTCCTAAACCCGGTTTGACAAAGGATTTTCTGAAGAAACAACTGAAAAGACCTTGAAGGAATCGTCTGATGGCTCTGTTCAGGCCATGATAGTTACCAACCAGCTCTTCCAAAGGGTTCAGCTTCGTGGACTTCAACAGTGAGGAGGATGCTAAAGCAGCCAAGGAGGCCATGGAGAATAGTGAGATATCTGCAAGCAAAGTGACCTTGGACTGGGCCAAGCCCAAGGGTGAAGGTGGCTTTTTTGAGATGAGGGGTGACAGAGGAGGGTTTGGAGGCCATGGTGGATTCTGTGGCAGAGACTGGGGAAGCTTTGGAGAGCAAGACGGCTTCCAGGGAGGCAGAAGAGGAGGAGGAGACCACAAGCCAGAGGAAAGAAGACGAAGTTGTATAACTCCTTCTGTTGGAGAGAAAGGACTCTGGGTTTACTGTTATGAGATCATGACAGAGCCTTTGGTCGACGATGGAAGTGGAGCACTGTGGAGACGATGATGTTTCATCCTATGTATAAATCCATGGTTTTCCTAGATAGGTTTGGGTTTTTTATGTTGTTGTTGTTTTGTGTGTGTGTGTGTGTGTGTGTGTGTGTGTGACAGAGAGACAGAGAGAGATAGTGCTTCATTGACTTTGGGACAAATTTAAACGGAAGGAAGGAAGGAAGGAAGGAAGGAAGGAAGGAAGGAAGGAAGGAAGGAAGGAAAGAAGGAAAGAAAAAGTGCTTAAACAAAGATTTTACCTAATTATTCCTTGGCAGTACTTTTAATAATCATACAACTGTGTGTTTAATAACTTAATCAGTATTAGGAAATGAAGCATGTAATATGCTTTTATCTAGTTATATCCATTGATAGCATCATATTTAGTTATTTTAGTGGGAATATAACGATTATGACGTTTCTACAGAACAATAATAAAACAGCAATGCACTAGCAGCACATTAACAAAAACGCTGAAAATTAAACATAACTTTGGCTTAATAACAAGAGGAAATTTCTTCTATTAGAGACTCTACCTTCAGAATGCTATCTGTATTTGATTCCTTTCTATCATGTTCTACCATTGTTCAGGTTTTCTTATTCTTCTGAAACAATAAAAGTATCAAAACAAAGAATATTGAGGTCCTCTTGTTATGCCTGCTTTCCCAAGTCTTTGATAGGAAAGTGCAAACGACTCAATCTGGCTCATCACCTATGAGCTAAGAATGGGTTTTACATTTTTAGATAAATAGAAAAGAGAAAAAAAGATGACACATGAAAAAAATTCAAATTTCACTGTCTATAAGTAATGTTTAATTAGAACAGAGTCATAGACATTTGTTTACATCTTCTCTCTGGCTGCTGCTACACTAAAATAGCAGAGATACGTAGTTGTGACAGGTTCTTATGATGAGGTAAAAATTTGGTTAAATTATTCCTTATTAAAATAGTCTGCTGACCCAAGCGAAAGGGCATTAAACTTTCTTTTCTCTGCTACCAACTCATTCCATCTCTTACCTAAAAAATATATCATTTATGGAATGTTCACTCTTACCTACTATTTCTTATTATCCAGAACCCATCTATCAAATCACAGAAAGCAAAAAACTGAGACAAGAGTTCAGTGACTAAGGCAAACAAACAAAAATTGTATATGAAGGCGTCTATGCATTTGATGTAATTCTCCACACTGCTCTAGTTATAGCCTTAGGCTGGAGTTTGCATGTCTTTAGTTGTATTAGACATAAGGTCCCTAATAAGTTGGGTCAACTCACAGGCAACTACTATTAAGCATCAATAACTAGTGCATATACAGTGCAGGAAGTACTATACCAACACTGACTTCTTAGAATGAAGTGGACTATTTTTTCCACACACACACTTGGTATTATATATTACCTAATATGGAAGTTGGGGAGTGGAATTAAACACATGAAAAATAAATCTTGCTTGTAAACTTATTCTCACAGCTTTAATAAGCTTTCAAATGAATGAAGTTATATAACTTTCATATATCACAAGTCTGAGACAATTCAATTCAAAAGCTAACAAGTTTTCCTCCACCCAACTATATCTTATCAATGTACCCACTCACTTGGTACTATCTTTTATCAAAGCAAGGAGTCCTAGTAGTGTAGTGATAATGTGTTGGGCTGCGGTCTGCATGGTTGGAGTTCTAAACCACCAGCAGCTCTGCAGAAGAAAGACTGGGCTTTCTACTCCAGAAACAGTCTCTGAAACCCACAGGGGATTGCACTGACTTTATGGCAGCAAGTTTTATTTATTTATTTATTTATTTATTTATTTATTTACTTACTTACTTACTTACTTACTTACTTATTTATTTATTTATTTATTTATTTATTGTGTGTGTGTGTGTGTGTGTGTGTGTGTTTTATCAAAACAAGTCTTTAATTTCCTACGAGCACTCAATGAGGTTTCTGTTTACTACTAGTAATGAAATACAAACCTGATCTTAGTCTTTGGTTTATTCAAGTATTCCAAAATTGTTTGCTGAACCTGCTACAACCCAAACTGACATACTGTGAAGCACTTATACCCATTATTTCACCTCTTTCACAACATTTTGAAAATTAAGACTAATCATTAAATTAATAGACTTAGTGGTGCAATGGGATATACAGTATGCACTGAACTGCTAGACACAAGGTTGGTGGTTTGAATACATCAGCCACTCTGAGGGAGAAAGATGAGGTCATCTGCTTCCATAAAGACTTAAAGTCTCAAAACCCACAGGGACAGTTCTATTTTGCCAGATAGATGTTGCTGTGAGTTAAAATGGACTTTATGACAGTCAATTTTAATCCATAAGTTATCATTTTTCCTTCAGCAATTTTTTGCATTGAGTTAATTTATAAGTAACTTTGGACCATTGAGATTTTCAAAGATTGGAGAAAAGTATAAATACAATGTATTTTAAGTTAAAATACACATTTCACATAGAGTACAACATACAACAGAAACTATCTCCTTAATCTGAAAGGTCTCTATACTATAACCCATAAAAGATTTGTGGCAAATAATAGAGGATCTATTTCCCTTTTTGGTCAAAATTATAGGCTGATTAAGGATATAAGGTAAAAATGTGGTCATTATAGATAATCCTGATCTAGTGTTTAGGTAGTGATAAATAGTATTAAGTCTTCAACATAAAAAAATAACAAGACCCTGTATGATTTAATAGTTTATAACATATTATTCATATTTAGCTAGGAATCCTAGTGGTGTAGTGACTGCTAACCACAAGGGCAGCAGTTCAAAATCACCAACAGCTCCGTAGGAGAAAGATGAAGCTTTTCACTGTCATAAAGAGTGACAGTTGTGGAAACCCACAGGGGCAATGCTAACCCGTCCTATAAGGTTGCTATGAGTCAAAACCAACCAGGTGGCAGTAACTAATGTTTACCTAAATTGAGAAATCTAAAATAGATCTAGTTAGCTGCTAATTTCAAAGGTAAAGAAGCATTTGACATTTTTTTTTAATATCCTGAAAAGTATGTCTCCATGAATAGTTCCTTCTTTTTTTTTATGCACTTAAATTAGCTATCTATAAACCTGCGTTCTTGACTTAGAGAGTTCTTTCTAAATCAATTCTCCAAATTCCTTTCAAAACAGCCTAGTAGGACTTTAACACTTAAAAAGTTATTCCACACCTTTGCATTGCCTAGTCACCTTTTTTTTTTTTTTAATTAGTTAAAAAGAAAAAAAAGATGTTAAGTTCCTACCATCCTCAGTCCTTGGCTGCTGGGGAAACATGTAGTTAGTAAGCACCATTTTCTGGGTCTCGGAATCAGTCTCTTTTTGAAGAGGTATCAGGGGTTTGGACTAGGGAAAGAAAATAAATATTTAATATGTAACAATCCTAATGCCACATCTATCCAGCAATTCCTCTAAATGAGTATTCATCATTTTCCTATAAATATCAACTAATAGATTATAAAACTTAAACATATAAAACATTATGTTAAAATCTTTGGTTTGAAATCTTATAAAAACAAAAAATAAAGCCTAGTTTTTAGCATAACGCTAACTTACACTGTACTACAACTGAACTATCAATATAATTTTAAAATGTTTTTCACATACTAAGTATTCATAGCCCAATAAATTACATTACTCACAATTTACTTGATAAGGCGGTAAAATAGGATTTTTCACTTTATGTTTTGTTCGCTCTAGTCCTCCTCCCTTAGAAGGATGACTTTGTAGAAATCATTTGGAAGTTCAGTTTATCTATCTCGTTTTATGCTAATCAGCTGAAAACAACGTGATTAAAACAAACACTGCTTCCTTCCCCGTGCTTCCTGTTGCCATCAATGGCAACACAGATCATGCAGTGGTAGAGCCATAAATGGTTTTTTGTTGTTGTTTTTTCTTAAGACTTTTTTCCTGATTACCTTGTGCTATCAATTTACTTTTTAATATAGCTAATTCTTGTGCCGAACTATTTACCTAAAATACTAACAAACTCGGTCTGACCGAACAGGCAGAGGGCTTTCAAATCCTATCCCCACATGCCACCCAGTCAGTTCTTTGCAACCATTCTTAAGGAAATCTTGCACCTATCTAATTCTATCCTACAGTTTTACTCCCTTTCAATCATTTCATTTGTGCCCTCCTCCTCTGGTTTCACAGTAAACAAACTGCCCTGTGTCTCAAACTTCGTCAATGAACATTTTTTTTTGCACGCACAAAAAGCAACTTTCTATTTTCCACGCTGTTTAACAAAGGCCTCACATGAAGAGGCACCGCTTTCACCAATGCCCTCGGCCATGTTGTGTCTTCTTTACAATGTAACTTGCTAACATTCCCCAATAGTGCAGTGCCCCTCCAGTGCCTGTCAACCATCAGCAGGCAGTAAAACTGCCCAACAAGACCATTACATTCATTCTGCCAGCAATGTGACAAACCGTCTAACAGATGTAAGCAGGTGGCTGCACCTGACCACTAAGGTCACTGACAAGTTTTGGAAAACATGATTTTTATCTCAAGAATTTGTGCTTGCCACACAGAGTGAAGATGTGATCATTTCCATTCATAAACCTAGTCTGTGATCATGTCTCAAGTTAATCTAGAGCAATTCACCTGTATGCATGTGGTACACATCAATACCATTAAATCAGTGGTTCTCAACCTTCCTAATGCTGCGACCCTTTCAAACAGTTCCTCACGTTGCGGTGACCCCCAACCATACAATTATTTTAGTTGCTACTTCATAACTGTAATTTTGCTACTGTTATGAATCATAATGTAAATATCTGATATGCAGGATGTATTTTCATTGTTACAAATTGAACATAATTAAAGCATAGTGATTAATCACAAAATAATATGTAATTATATATTGTGAAATACTCATGTTTTCCAATGGTCTTAGGCGACCCCTGTGGAAGGGTCTTTCGACCCCCAAAGGGGTTGAGACCCACAGATGCTACATTGTTGGATTTAAACCCCTGGTTTATTTATCATTTAACCAAACTCAGGAATGACCCGCTCAGAGGAAGCACATATGGTAAAGCGACCTTATTTTTTCTTGGACCCACACTGAAAAGCACAGGAATGCTAACGAAATTAAAATCAAAAAC